GAGGAGGAGGAGGAGTCGGAGCAGCTTGGTCGGGAGGGGCTGCTCCGTTATCGAACACATGGAGGAGGGGAGATAGATCCACCGTAGGGAGGTTTAGTGTAGCAGACCTTGGCCGCCGTGAGGGCGGGTGGGAACGCGGTCGAAGACGCGTCTGTTGTGGTTCCCTGGTACCTTAGATGAGTTTAGTCGGCAGCATTACGTTCGAAATAGCTCAACCACACCTTTTATAAGTCCGAAGTAGCCAACTCCACCTAGAGACATCTACTTAAGGGTGGAATTATGCCAAGGACCCTTTTAAATTTAAACACTGCCACCTTGTGTAGTACTTTAAGTTATTTGTAGCAGCCTGTATAGCTTCAATCAAGTTCCTGTTAGGGCATTTTATTTACCGCGTTCCGCTTCACCAAATTTCTATCAGGAAGTTCTTCCTGTCATTACCCAACTGGGGTTGGCACACGTCTGTGTGTGCACTCGTAGACAGATTGTTTAGTTTTGTCAGCCACTACGTCCGAGCCAGCCTCCGGCCGCCCTACCTCTTTCTTGCCACCGGGTCCAGGCTGATGAGGGATGAGCGAGTGCGCAAATGCTGCGAAAGCCTGATGTCACCACTCGAGCAGGTCATCGTCTTGTGTCCATCCCACCATGAAGCACATAGTGGGCATTGTTATTCGCGACGTTTGAACTAATTATAACGAATCGTCTGAAACTACATCGATCGGTCTTAATGACGAGAGTTTGCAAAGTGTCAGGCACGAAGTATACTGTTTTTCTTCACGCTTTAACTTCGTTGTTTTCGACTGACTGCGCCTGTCTCGCCCGGCACTACAAAAAAGCCGAACTTTCATCGTTGTACTGTCTGTGGTAGGCGTGCACATTGCTGGAGATAAGCATACAAGCCTACTGTGTGTATGAGTTTTTAAACGTCAGCCGGTTGTGTTCGTAGGGGCTTTGGCGTTTGACACTTTTTGCTAGTTTAGGTACAACTTGGGACAGAAAGCGGCAGTCAACTACCTATGCCTGTACTCATTTTAGCTTTAAGTAGCCTCAGACCTTCAGTCATCCAGATCTGTCCTGGCATTCACCCGTTTGCAAGAAGGGCTTTCTAGGTTCCTGGTTGTTGGTCTGCAAGCATAGTAGTTGAAATCTGACTCTCTTGGAATATACCTCGATTTGTTCACCCATGATCCTAACCCATCTGCCCCGTCAATACTTATTCATCGCTGCCGGCGCCACCTTACCATCATCCTCCTCTTCCTTCTCCTCCTTGTCCTTCTATCCCTATTCCCTCCTCCTGCTCATCATCATCATACTAATCGGCATCACTATCATCATTGGTTGCAACGATACCAGCAATGCAACAACCTATGACCTACCTACAACGGCTTTTTCACAGCAACGTCGTCGTCAGCAGGGCCATGACCATTATCGTAAGCATAAGTGAAGTCGGACGCCTCATTTGTTGAATTGGGCCCCACACGGCGTTTGTGATGACGGACGGGATCGATGAGGTAGTCTTCATCCTCTCC